AGGCTGGGGTTCAATCTCCGGCGGGCCATGCTGGCCCCGCACCCCGGGGTGCACTGAGACAGCGATTGAGACTGGGCATGGTGGTACAAGCCAGTAATCCTAGCATTTGTGAGGTTGAATACAGGAGAATCACTACAAGTCCAATCTATGTAGTGAGACTCTGTAGCCCCTATAGATCCCGTATCCTATGTAATAAATGCAAGAAAAAAAAAAAGATAAAGGAGGACTGGTTTATTTTGGCTTGCAGTTTACAGACATTTCAGTCCACAACTGGCCGAGTCTAACACAGGTTGGCGTGGCAGATAGGAAGCAGAGTGTGAATATGTGTATATCCAGCCAAGCGCAGAGCGACCCACCTCCACCCACGAGTCCACCTCTGGCACCACTCGTGGCTAGACACCCTTCAGCTGACCAGTCTATTCGGTGTGTCCTACACCCACAGTCCAGCCGCCACTCAGAAACCCCACCTTGAACACATGAGGCATTGGGGGACATTGAAATATACCCTGCAACAATGACCAAACGTTCTTTCTAGCTTAAGCATTTAGCAGTTATCTTGGGTTGCTTTCTCAGGAATACAACAGCCTTTGACTTACCCTTTGCTTAGATTTAATGATTACCACTCCAAAGAACCTGGTCACAAAAGAGCACATATTGTTCAATTTCATTACTATAAATGTCCAGAATAAAGAAATCTTTAGAGGTATACTAGTGGTTGCTTAGGGCTTTTTATTTTGTGTTTTTTTTAAAAAAAAAGCTATTGGAATTTTGATATGGCCTGCACCTAGTATAAGATCTGGATACTATTTCCATTTTAACAATAGTAAGTCTTTCTAAGTATGACTGGTAATATTTTCATTAATTGAGATCTTGTTAATCCCCCAAGCAATGTTCTGTAGATTGTAGCATAAGTTTTTCATCTCCTTGTTGTTTTATTATTTTAAAAAAATTTAAATGATACAGAATTTCACTAAAAAAATATGAATTCAACAATGGTTGTTACATTGTGTATTGTCTTCAAATTAGTTGCTCAGATTACCAGATATAAGCATGCAAAATTGGTCAAAAAATTAAAAAGAAGAAAAAAATTTGAGCGTTAATTGTTCTTTTCAATAGACCAATAGAAATGAGCAGTACAGTTGTCCCAGCTATTTTCTGTACCTTTTCTTTCTTTCTTTCTCCTTTCCCTCACCCTGTTAGTTCCTTCCTTTGAGCAATTTTTGCCCTTTCACAATATCTATTCTACCTTTCAGATTTTATTTACACTTTCAGGGTCTTACACTAGGGAGACAACATGATGTTTACCCATGCTACTCTGAATTATTTCACTTATAAGTAGGGTCTCTAGTTGCATCCATTTACCTATAAAGGCCTCAAGTTTCTCTTTTGATAGCAGAGTAATAATCCATTGTATAAGAATACCACACCTTTTTTATCCCTTCCTGAGTTGATGAGCATCTGGGTTGTTTCCAAGATTTAGCTATGACAAATTGCACTGCTATAAACATGGGTGCCCATATATTGCTGTGGTACAATGTTTTCAGTTCATTTGGAAAGACGGCCAGGAGGGGAATAGCTTGGTTGAATGAGATCCCCCAAGTCCTAGCTTTTTGAGGAATCTTCACACTGATTTCCACAGTGCTTGTAGCAGTCTACACTCTCAGCAACAGTCAAGAAGTGTTCTTTTTTTTTTTTTTTTTTTTTTACGCCCCTCCAGTATTTTTTTTGGTTGACTTCTTCATGATAGCCATTCTTTCTGGGATGAAATGGAATCTCTGTGTTGTTTTAATTTGCATTTCTCAAATGACCAGTGATATGGAACATTTTTCCTATGTTTATTTGCCATTTGTATTTCTTCATCGGAGAAGTGTGTATTCATCTCACGTGCCCATTTTCTGATTGGTCCTTTGAATTGTGGGAGCCTGATTTTAAAAAAAATTCACGTGTTCTAGATACAAGTCCTTTGAGGGACATGACTAAAATTTTTTTCCAATTCGTGGGATTTCTTTTTCTTCTGTTGGTTATTTCTGTTAATGTGCAGAAACTTTTAAAAAAGATAAGATCCCAATTGTTGATCCTTTGAGGTACTTCCTATGCTGTTTGGGTTTTGTTCATGAATTCTCTGCCTACCCCTATGTCTTCAAGATTTCTAGCTACTTTCTCCTCCAGGATATTTAGTGTTTCTTTTTTAACATTTACATCTTTGATCAACTTTGATATTAGTTTAGTGCATGGAAATATACATGGGTCTAATTTTAGCCTTTGGTATGTGGAAAGCCAGTTTTTCTAGCACCATTTTCTAAAGAGGCTGTCTTTCAGTGAACACATTTGGCCCTCTTTGTCAGAGATAAGGTATCTGAGTGTATTTGTACTTGGGTCTGTATCTTCTAGACTGTTTCATTGATACTCAGGTCTGTTTTTTGCCAGTACCATGCTGAATTTATCACAGTAGCTTTGTAGTATCATTTCAAGTCAGGGACTGTGGTGCCTCTTGCCTCTCCTCTGTTGCCCAGGATTGCCATTGGTATTTTAGGTCTCTTCTGGCTCCAGATGACTTTGAAGAATGTTTTCTTCAGATCTTCCAGGTATACTAATGGCCTTTTAACCAGGATTGCACTGTATCTGTATATCAACTTGGGGGGGATGGCCGTTTTCACAGAGTTGATTCTTCCTATCCAGGAGCAATGGTGATACTTGGGTCCAGTAATAAGTGTGGGGAACTGCTTCCCTGTTAATTTCATTAAAGAGTTTGAGAAGAGTTGGCATTAAATCTGCTATAAATTCCTTGTAGAATTCAGGACCTAGATTTGTCATTGTTCATAAAATTTTACTTATATTTTCATTTTCATTTACTAATATTGGGCTATTCAGAATTTTTATACCTTCTTGATTCAGCTCTGTTGATTCTGTTCATTTCTTCTGTGTTTTCCATTCTGTAAGAGTAAAGATTTTGAAAGTAGTTATTTATGCTTTTCTGAATTTAGGTACACTTTGTGATTATTTTGCCCTTTTCATTCCTTACTCCATGAATTTGAACTTTTTCTTTCCTTTTTTTTTTTTTTTTTTTTTTTGGTTGTCTAGGAGTTTACTGATTTTATTTATTTGTCGCACACGGCCTTGCCTGCAAGAACAACGCGACCACTGGTTGGTTTTCTGCGCAGCTCTTTATTGTTCTCTTACATCCGTCTTCTCTTCTCCCAAGGCCCCTGCTCTTAGCTTATAAGTCTCAGGGCTTCCAACCATGGGGTGCCACGTGTGTACTGCCCATTGGTCCAGGTATGCGGAAGCAATGCATTAGCCCAAGTCTTGGCCATATATGGAGTTGTTTACTCCAGGAGCGCTCACCCCCTGAGAGGGTGGAAGGCGGAAACCAGCGCCATCCTAGGGCGCGGCTACACGCAGCTCCCTACATTTATTCTTTCAAAGAACCAACTCTTTGATTCACTAATTATTTGTTATTTTCTTCACCTCCATTGCATTTATTTTTGCTCTGAAATTTATAATTTCCTGTCTTCTTTAGGCCTTGAGTTTGGCTTGCTGTTCTTTTTCTAGCAGCTTGAGGTGCAGCGTAAGATTGCTTATGCGGGCTTATTCTGTTTTCCTGAAATGAAAATTTTACCACTAAAATTTCCCTTTTGAGACTGTCTTCATTGTGTCCCACCAGATCCGGTAAGTTGTGTCTGCATTTTCATTTGATTGTAAATATTTTTGTTAATTTCATTTGTGACTCATTGATTGTTCATGAGGGTGTTATTTTATTTCCATGTGTTTACTGAGTTTTTGTGATTTCTTTTGTCAATAATTTCCAGTTTCATTGCACTATGGTTAGATAATATGCATGAGATAATTATAATTCCTTTGCACTTACCTAAGCCTGCTCTATGTGATAGTATATCATCTATTTTGGGGAATGTCCCACATGCCACTAAGCAAATGTGCATTCTGATGATGCTCAGTGGAATACTTTGTAAAGGTTTACTAAGTCCATTTTCTTACTAGTTTCATTTAGTTCAGTATTTCTTTGTTGATTTTTTACCTACTTGTTCTGTCTCTTTGTGACAATGGTATATTAAAGTCCCCTATTACAATTGTGTGATTGCTCTTTTGATTTCTCATGTCTGTTAAAATGTGTTTAATAGTTGGGTTAGCCTACATTTGGTGCTGTCTTAGTTACTCTTTACTCGTTGCTGGGACAAATACCCAACACTCAAAATGAAGGAAGGAAAGGTTTATTTAGCTCACAGTTACTGGAGGGTTCAGTCCATATTCCACTGGCTCCAAGGCAAATGACAGCAGTTCATTGAGAGAAAACAATGAAGAGCAGAGGAGGAGCAGCAGCTGCAGCGTCCAGCAAGCCTCTCTCTTCCCTCTGCGCTGACAGCGAAGACTGGTGCTCCACAGTGAAGATCAGAGCTCCTCCAAAGTGGCTAAGCTCCTCCAAAGACTCGGACTTCTCCATGGAAGCGGGGCGGGGTGGCAGGAAGTAGGGCAGGAGATAGGAAGCCTTTCTCAATTCCTGGGCCCTGCCCACCTGCAGGGAGAGGCCCCCACGCTGAGAACTGCGGGAGCTGATTCAGCCAAGTTGACACAATGAATCAACAAACATAGGTGCATATATATTTATGATGGTTATCTCTTCCTCTTCCTCTTGTATTTTTCCCCTAACAAGTATGCAATGACCTCCTGTATCTCTTTTGGTCATTCTTAGTTTGAAGTTCACATTGTCTGCAACCAGAATAGCTACCCCTGCTTTGTTCTGGGTTCCTGTCACATGGGTATTGTTTTCCATCCTTTGACCTTTAGGCTATGAATTTCCTTTTCAGTTAAATGAATTTCATGTACATATTGTTGGATTTATTTTTCTTGATACACTTTGCCAGTCTGCTGCTTTTGATTGGTGAAATGAGTTCATTTACATTGATAGTTATAGCTGATATGTATCGGCTTATGTTTGTCATGTTATTTTCACGCTGTAGGGTCCCTCCTTTTTCCCTCTTTTTTTTTTTTTCACCATTCCTGGAGACAATGCAATACCAGATCACTGCATGGAGTGGACATAGCAAGCTCCTATTCCATGTCTTAGCTCCAAAAATCCATTTAATATATTGTTTTCAGATAGAAGACATTTCAGATATTAAACTGATAAGAACGTATATTATAGATTTAACCCAACGCCCAGGCCTGGCGTGTGAGTGGGAATGCAGGGGCCTGCCAGGTCCTGATTAGATCCAAGCCCAGCATGTGAGTGAGACCATCTGGGGCCTGCTGAATCCTCATTCCACCCAGAGCCCAGGCCCGCATGAGAGTAGAACTTCCTCCGTCAGACATGCCTGGTGTAGAACCCAGCAGCAGAACTCCCTGCAGAGAGGCTAGAGGCAAGACCCACCCAGCTGATCCAGGAGCAGAACATCTTCCTAGAGTGGCACAGAGGGTTCATCTCCAAGGGCTGCAGCAGGAAGAAGTAGAGCACAGCAGTCAGACCCAAGCCACACCCACCTGTACAAGTTTGAACTTGGTAGATCCAGATCTGGTGCTAATGTAATAACTCTAAGCTGTATATCAAAGGTCAGAAGACAGTGCTATACAAAATGACAAAGAGAAGGAGCAAAATGCATTCTCAGATGCAGAGCCCACCCAGAACTAATGCAGGAGACAATAGCATAGAAGAAATTGGAAAACACACATAATAATATTGGTTATTATTAATAATAACCAATAATGAAGTAATATTGGTTGGTGGAGAAACAACTGCAGAAAGGTACCATGAAAATCAGATCAGAAATAATTTCTGACCTTTCTCAGTGTCAGCCATGTGGATGAGTCACGGCCATTGCTTGACCACTGACAAAGGATCTACAGACTGCAGTACAGGGTTTCAGGGTAAATCCTAAGGGGATATGACTGACCTTGGCAGATGCAAAAGCTACATTCCTTGTTATACAGGTCTTGCTTTATCTTGGTCTTAACCATCCAGCAGAAAAGTTTTTTTAAAAAGGTAGAAAAAGTAAAGCCATATTAATATGCTGAGCTGTAAAAGGCTCAAGTCAACAACTTCTGACATTGCCAGTCCTATGGATAACCCACTACTATTATGGACTACTGGACTATATTGGATTATTTTGCTGAATTCACATACCTACAATATTTAAGTGGCAATGGAATACGCATCTCTGACAAAACTAAACCAAAACAGGGGATACAAATGAAGGACCATTTTGCATCTGTGTATTCAAAATAGGATAGATATACAGCTACTTTCTCTTAATTCAATAAGAAGAAAGATTTGTACTATTGTGTTTGGACAGAATATCATGTCTTTATCTTGTACTATGAAGACAATAATATGTAATGTATTAATTTTTTTTTTCAGAATCAGAGATTGAACTCAGGTTCTTCAGCTTGCCAGGGAAGTGCTTATTCTACTGAGCCATCTCCTGGGCCCCTGTATTAATTATTGAAACTGTCTTACTAATCAGTTTTGAAACTGTCTCATTGCTATTTGTTTCTAAATAAAATTAATAAAAAAATTCTGAGGTAAAAAAATGATAACTATAATGAAAGAAGTACTAAGTGCTTCTAAAGAAGACACTGATAAAAAAATAGAGGAAAAGGGCTGAGGAGATAGCTCAATAGAATAAGCACTTGCCTGGCAAGCTCAAGGTCCTGAGTTCAATCCCCAGTACCACCAAAAAAAAAAGGAGGAGAATAGAAAAATGATGTAATCCTTGAGTGAGCAATATAGGAAAGAAATAGACTGCATGAAGCAGATTCAAGTGCTATACAGGAAATTAATACCTCAATCACAAGCTGGCAAAACCATTTGAATAAAAGTGAAAATAAACTTTCAGACTTTGAAGACACCATTGCAGCAAGTGAAAAGGTAAGAAAAGATCTAAGAACAACTAGGATGCAGGAAAAAATAATTCAACATCTGCAAGATGATGCAAAGATGAACAACGTAAGATTAATAGGCATCAATGAGAAGGAAGGAGTCAATACAAATGATATAAAAAGAATATGGGCAGAAGTAATAGCAGAAAATTTCCCAAATATGGGGCAACGATCTGATATTTAGGTAACTGAAGCATATAGAACTCCAAATAACATCGACCCAATTAAAAACACACCCAGACATATAATAATCAAGATCCCAGAAATTCAGCACAGGAACAATACACTAAAAGCTGCAAGAGAAATGAAACAGATCACATTTAAAGGAAAAATGATCAGAATAACAGCAGACTTTTCTTCACATACCATCAAGTCAAGAAGAGCATGGAGCAAAGTACTATAAGTGTTGCAAGCAAACGAATTCCAACCCAGACTAATATACCCTGCATAACTTTCAAGTATAATGGAGATGCGAAATACTTCCATGACAAAGAACACCTAAAGAATTTCATGATGACAAAGCCAATCCTACACAGACTACTAAAAGATATTGCAGAGAGGGATCAAAATGACCTTAACTCCATGAATGAGAATGGAAAGAACCCACCAAATAGGGTAAAGAATTAAACACAGGAGAATAAGAGGTATTCAAACACAATCTTTCAGTTATGCTTTTGTATACAGCAGCAAGATATTTCCATCAGCATACTCTACAAATGGACTTCTCCTGCACCCTATGGGGCATGATTCTATCCAGGTCTACAGGAGGATATCAAAGAAAGAGAAGTAGCTCATTCACAAAAGTGACATCTGGCCACCAGTAAGCGTCATGGACACTGTACAGGTGCACAACATACTAGAACGTAGTGAGATATCCTATCCCCAAACTGTTAGAAGTTCTGGTCATATATTTGACATTTCAGTATTTATCTTATGTTTTATTCTTAGTAATTCTTTACTATCAAAACTTTTTCTTAGTTCAACTGTTTTGACATACTTAATTTTTAATTAATATTTAATTTTCTGAATATTGTTTAATCCTAATTTTAGCTTTAAGATTCATACTGTATTTTTGACTTACAATCTACTTAAAAGACATGGTGTAATATTTTCTTCTAGTATTAGAAACTTTAAAAAGTATAGTTCCATTTTCCATTGACTTTATATTACTTCTTCCTTGTCTTTTACCCAGGCACACACATATAGGAAAAAATATGTATATAACCTGACATAAGATTGATACTGTTTTGTAGAAATCTTCAATGACCTTTTAATTGGGTTCATCTAATGTATTTTCATTATCCTGCATACCTACCTTTTTGAGAGCTCTTTATTCTTATCCAGGACCATACAGCAACTTCTCTTGCCTTCTGGATTATGTTCTTTGTTATTTCCTATATGCTTCATCTGGAGGTGTTAGAATATTTCGAGTTTGTATAAATGGAAAATATTTTACTTTTAGTTTTCAAAGGTATGTTTGCTAAGTATAAAATTCAGTGAGGACAGATTTTTTTTTTCGTTCTTTTGATTTATTTGTTTTGTTTTTTTCCCCCTTTGTTTTTTTTTTTTTCTTTCTAATGTGAAATAAGATGCTATTTAATTTTCTTCCTCCAGAGCTACTTTTTTATATGTGTATGGTTTAATGATCTTTTCTTTACAGTAAGTTTTGTATAATGTCATTTTTTTGTATCTTGGTATGATTTTCTTCAAATTTCTTGTGCAAAAGGTTCATTTTTCTTGGAAATGTGCTATATTTTCAACTAAATTCAGAAATTTTAAATCTTTAAATATTTATTTCCTAACCCTTCCTACTTTTAGAATTCTAATTATATGAATATAAGTTTTTGATTTTGACACAGAGTGAACTATTATATGACTGATCTGTAAATTCTTTATTTTTATTTTGGAAAATTTTTACTGTTATATTCATTTAAGTTTGTAAATAATTTATCTACAATGTACAATCTATTATTAATCTCATGCTATATATTCATCTCAGAAGTATTTCTCTAAAGTTCAAAAATACTGAACAAATATATTAAATAAACAAAATAAAATAATTTTTAAAAACCATATACTACACTTGATCTTAGTCGAAAGCCAAGAAGGGATCACCCTCTGTTTAGTTGCTTGCTCTGCTTGGCATTTCCTTTGTAATGTTCTTGAAACTGTGGTCACTTTTGTTTCTTTCTGTCGTTACTCTTTGTAGTGTTGGCTTGGTGATCATGAATTTCCTCAGTTGTTCTTTGTCATGGAAATATCTCATTTCTCCATTAATTTTGTAGAGGTTTTTCATGTACATCAATCTGGGTGGGAAGCTGCCTTCTTTCAAGCTCTGAAATATCTCACTCCAAGCTCTTCTTGATATGATGGTTTATGTTGCAAAATCTGCCCTTATTCTGATATACTTTCCTTTATAGGTGATATGTTTCTTTCTCTAACAGCATTTTATATTCTGTTCTTTGCTGAATTTCTAGAATCTTGATTATTATGTGCCTGGGTGTACATTTATTTTGGTTATGGCTAAGTGGAGTTCTATATGCCTCACTTACTGTATGTCAGATTCTCTTCTCGTGCCTGGGAGATTTTCTGCTACTACTTCTGCAGTAGTGTTTTATGCCATTTTCTTTGACCCCTGCTATTCTATTGACTCTTATCAATCTTATATTGTTTTCCTTTGCATTGTCCTGCAGCTGTTGCATTGTTATTTTCTGGTTCCTTTCTTTCCTAAGAGATCTTTCCTTTTACACTTACTAGCTGCAATGCTATCTTCAAGGTCTGAAATTCTGTCTTCAGCATTGTTCAAGTGGTTTTGCCAGATTCTAATGGAATTCTTAATTTCCTGGACATTTGTTTGAACCTGTTTCATGCATTCTAATTATTTCTTGTATCCTTCTTTCAATGTTTCCACCATTTTTCTATTCTCCTCTATTTTTTATCTCTTCTTTCAATGTGCTGAAAAAATCTTTCATTATTTTTGTTATTCCTTTTTTACCTGAAAGATTATTTTTTATCTGATTTCTTCTGTAGCCTGATGGAGTTGTTTCTTTACTTCAGCTCCTATCATTTCAGAAACTTCACGTGTGTGACTTCCAAGTTCTTCTACACCTTTGTCTCCTGGACTAGTTCTGGGTGGGATGGAAGTCCAAGATTGCCTTTTGACCTTTTTGAAGCTCCAATATTCACCCGGGTTCTGTAGCAATGGTAAGGGGTGGGGCAGGAGTTAGCAAAGCTCCAGTAACACCCGGGGACAGGCTGTAGCTCAGTGAGGGTTCTGTGATGGTTTGGGGCCTCATCTTTTT